GGGGGGGGGGGGGGGGGGGAGTAATCGTACGTGAACATTCCAATCTTTTTTATCTTCCACCAGATAAAGGGTCCGGGATAGATTAGCCATAAATTAATAGAGAGGCACGCATCCCTGGGAGCTCGGAAAAACAAGGCTGGTCGAATTGGCAGCAGAACCTCAGCGAGATTCTACGCTTTTGAGTTGTTTTTGCTGTGTCTTGTTGTATTGATTGGAAAGCACAACTATTTTTTTCACAGTTTAGAGTCCGGGATAGAATACACAGCAATGAATTCATGGTAGTGTTGTATGATGACCAACCTGCGTTGTTGTGTTTTGGTGGTCCACCTTGGCGCCTGCCTTTGGCAGGCGGACCGTCTGCTGGAGCTGGGTTTCCAGGAGGAGGTGGCCGAGCTCGTCAAGTCCTGCCCCATCGGGAGGCAGACCCTCCTCTTCTCCGCCACCATGAACACCAAGGTCGACGACCTCGCGTCACTGGCGCTCAACAAGGTGAGGAAAGACGAGAGCCTTTGGCTTGGCGGGCGGCGGTGTATGTTGGATTTCGTGGGTTGCACGCGGGGGATTTTGGTTGATTGATGAACGCTCTCGTGGTGAAGAAGCTGTTGGATGTTGTCGTTGGGGGGGATTGGTTGATTGAGTGTCGCTCCTCTTTCGTTGCGATATTTTTCTGTTGGATTCGTGGTGCGATTGGTTGGAATTTTTTTTCTCTCTTTTTTCTAGAGCAACATGCGTTGATTTGAGGCAGGACTAGCCACGGCGGCGTGAGGGTCACGTCGCTTGTTGAGGCACGCATTCTTTCGCGCGTCCCAGGCGTACGATGATAATAGATGGGGTGATGAATGCCGTATATATATATATATATATATATATACCAGGTTAGGGGTGTTTGTTAATGAAAATTGATGCCTTCTGGGGGGGGGGAGGGCATGAGAACTGCGGGTGACCTACGATACATGGCTGCTCAGAAGCAGACACGTGCCCTCCTCGGCATGTTCCGCGAGTGAGAAATCCTTGTGTCATGACTGCATTGCATACTGGTGGGTGCCAAAGACGTTCCCCGCTGCAAACTGAACTTGCCCCCCCCCCCCTGTTTTCCTCGTTTCTCTGCTATAACCTTCTGTGTTTCTTAGCCTGTGAGAGTGAAGGCCTCGCCGATGAACTCGGCCCCCCAGAGGCTGGTGCAGGAGTTCGTGCGGATCAGGCAGAGCCGAGAGCAAGATCGGGAGGCAATTCTGCTGTCCCTCCTCACCAGGTTTGTGCAATCGTTGGTGCCTGCCCGGCTTTCTCTGGATGCCCGCTCGCTGTTGTGGCCAGCCTATGTCGGTGAAAAGCCACATAAGCAAGAGCTGTACCGCGACGGCAGCTTAACGTAGCCTAGGGCGGCGCATGTGTTGTTGTTGTTGTTGGTGGTGGTGGGGGTGGGAGTGTGCTATTGCTGTTGTGTTTGATTTCATGGCATGCGAAAGGCGTTTCGACTTCGATTTTACTCCCTCGGTTCTTGTACTGTCGAGTTTTGCTTTCGCCACGCTCACCCTGTTGTTTGGTTTTCTGCACATGACATACGAAAACTCGCTGCTGCTGCTGCTGCTGCTGCTGCTGCTGCTGAATTCGGCAGCGTCGCTGTCATGTTTGTTTTCATTGCTCAATCCACAGCCGTTTCGAGTTTGCTTACCATAGTTTTTTTCCCATTGTTTTCCGTGGTATTTGGTTGTTTGGTTCGCCAGGACCTTCAAGACGAAAACGATCGTTTTCTTCGACACCAAGAGCCTGGCGCACAGGCTCAACATCGTACTCGGCATCGCTGGCATCCGTGCGGCAGAGCTTCACGGCAACCTGGCCATGACGCAACGGCTAGAGGCCCTCGACAGGTGGGCGTGGGCGCTGCCATCACCTCTTATGTGGTGAATGTCGCCTTTGCAAATTGTTGTCAAACGCTGACTGGCGTGTGTGGCTCCCTCTCTACTGTTATTACCCAAGGTTTACTCGGTAATGCATTGTTCGGCGGGAACGACTTTGGCTGAAGCGGGAAAACAAACCAATGGCGGTGAACCGGCGATTTCCGGGACCGCCCACCACGGCGGTGAAATTACCGAGTAAACCCTTGGGTTGTTATGCTGCCTTGACTATGGTGGAAGTCTCGCTGGGGTAAGCACGCGTACTGTGTATGGGTTTGTGAACACCACTGCTGTGCGATGCGCAGCGGGGGGTTTTTGGTGGAAAACGGGAACCCGTTACAAGGCTGGGCTGGAATCTATTCCGCACGTCTCCCTCGCTCAAGAGTTCAATCGCCCATGCTCCATAGCCGTGTCGTGTTGGCTTCCGGCGGTGTGTGTTATGTTGTAACTGTTATGACCTGCGTGTCCGCGTTGTTTTGTTATTTTTGTTGTGTTAGGTTTAAGAGCGGCGATGTGACGGTGCTGGTGGCTACCGACCTGGCGGCGAGGGGGCTCGATATCACGGTAAGTTTTATGATGCGACCCACAGAGACATGGAGAGCTTTTGTGCTTCCTTCGCAAGTTGTACTTGAGTACGCATCACCATCCACCCGCACGCTTCAGCCGCAAAAAATAAGTCCCTCAATGGGAAAATGTCACTCAAACGCCCAACTGTTCGTCGCACCCGTTTATCTTGTTTTTGTGTGAACTGCTCGCTGGATGTTGGGCCGTTCAGGCTTCTGGCCGGTAAGAACACCACTGTGGCTTGGCGATAACGATAACGATGTCACGCCAGCTCCGACGTGACGTTGCCTCCCCCCTCCCCCACCTTGCGATGTCGCCGCCAACTCACACCGCCCTCATCTCTCCATCCCTCTCCATTGTTCTGTCGCGGTTGGACCAGGGCGTGCACACCGTCATCAACTTCGAGATGCCCAGGTCGGCGGACTCTTACATCCACCGCGTCGGTCGGACAGCCCGCGCTGGATGCGGAGGCCGCTCAGTGACCCTTATCGGTGAGCCTTTCGGGATTGGTCGGTGTCTAATAAGACCTTGTAGCCGTTTGGTGTCTATTTTGTTTGGGGGCGCAGACGACAGAAAACGGTGCAAATTTACGCCGGCGGTTGTTGTCAGCAATAGCAGCAGCAGTAGCAGTCGCAGTAGCAGTAGCAGTAGCAGTAGCAGTAGCAGCAGCAGTAGCAGTAGCAGCAGCAGCAACTTTTCTGGTTGTTGGAGATTCGTGTAACCGGGAACATCATGACGGGATTCACTTCTCCTAACCTGTCGCGTGTAGCAGGCTTAACGCTCTCACTGCCGAAATAATGCTTGGTTTTGGGCTTTCGAGGTGTGCACACGGGTACGAAAAAACTTCGTGTGTTTCTCAACCTCTTGGTCTCTTGTTAAAACCCTAACACTGCAATGCGACAATGTCACCAGCATCCACGTCGTGCTTGTTGTTTCCCATGGCATCGAGCAGGCGAAAGCCGTCGGATAGTGATGAAAGACGTGCTCAAGACTCAGGGAGAAGGCGTCGAGATCAAGAGTCGAGCTGTGCCGCAATCAGCGATTGACCACTTCAGGTGGGACCCTTGGTTTGCCGGTTAAATATGTCTTTTTATTGGCTGTGAGGGTTATAAAGTACGGTATTTGACAACAGCGTTTGACAGCGTTGTGATGCTGGCAATAATAATCACTTCTAGATCGTTGTTTCGACCGGCTGACCACAGGCGCCACGCTAGATGGTGCCGAAGAGATGGACATGTAGATATGGCCGGTTGACTACGCGCAATACCATGGTATCGACCGTCCCGCCCCAGCGTCGACCATGCTTGCTGCGGGCTGCACTACTACAAGCGCTTATTTTGCTGTCCTTGTTTGATGTTGCTTATAGGTCGTGGGTGATGCAACTGTTGGCGTGTGTGCTGCTGGAATAAAGAAAAAGCCCTTCGTGAGCGCTGTTTGATGGCGCTTTGATTATTACGAAAAGACCACAAATCCCTGACCAGCACAGAACAAATTCTTGCGGCCTTCATGGTGGCTCTGGTGTCCACGTTGTTTTTTTCTCTGTCCGTAGCTTGAGATTGCTGTCCGTTTTCCGTCCTTGCTTGTTGTTGCCAGGAGTAGGCGTGCTGGAATGAAGCTGGTCTAGTGTTGCTTTCGGCCAGCCGGTGACTCTTGCGGCCTTTTCAATGGGTGTTTGTCCACCTGTTGAGGCACTGCCATCTGTTTGGCCAATTTTGCTTGCCGTCGAGAGTAGGCGTGCTGGAATGAAGATGAAGCCTTTCGTGAGCGCTATTCAATGGCGCTTTGATGCTTACGAAAAGACTACAATTCCCTGACCAGTACACTGCAGTGCCGAATTGCTTTCCGTTGCGCGGTCCCGAAAAATGACAGCACTGTCAACTGTCAAGCGGTGTTTTTTTTTTTTTCATAGCTGCATGGTGGATGTCATGGCGGTTTTGGTGGACCTCTGCCTACGCGTACATCTTGAGGCCCTACTGTCCATTTGCCGTCTTTGGCTGTTGCAGTCGGAAGAGGGTGTGCTGGAATGGAGACAAAGCCTTTCGTGAGCGCTACTTCATGGCGCCTTGATTCGTACGAAGAAACTATAATTCCCTGACCAGTACCAGTTGTTGGCGATAGGCTCATGTCTCAGGTGTGCCTGTCGCGAGCGTTGGAACCGCCTCGTCGAGAATGTTCCTCGACCATAATATCGTTTGATGTATACATCCTCTTCGACGTGGAGAAATCGAGCTTTGAAAATCGGTCCAGGGGGTGTGTTATCTTGTGTCATATACGGGTACGCACTTGTTCTCGCTGGCTCTCGACGACCATTATGATTGTTAATAATGAGTCGTTTTTCATCACGTTTCCATTCATGTGTTGTCGTACGCTGGGATGACGATAGCACCTTTCGTGAGCGCCGCACGGCGCGCTGATGCTTACGAAAAGACTACAATTCCCCGACCAGCTACCGGCAAAACTCTCACGCATACCCCTTTACAGCATTCTTGTACGATTCCGCTGAATCGCTCGAAAGGATATCTGGTTGCTGTGTTGTGGCGATCCGTTATGTACGCCTGAGTGTTTGGCACTTCTCCCGGGCTTTTGCAACTGCTGAGGGATGTTTACCACGAGATCGAGATTTCCATGTGTTTTGCCGCTGCCGTGGGGTGATACAACGATTGTTTAGCACGGCTCTCCATACTGTACTTAGCGTACTGCTGAGTTTAGTAGGACTTCCCATACTGTACTAAAAATAGTTTTAGTACGGCTCTCCATACTGTTCTCATGATTTCTACCAAAGGGCGTGTTGGTGACGTCACTATTCGGCAGAAAATTGTACAGTCTCGCTCCTGCGAGTGATCGTGGGCTCGTACTGGCGTGCTCGAGTACTGAGGGTATTGGTGTAGTGGCCCGCAGGGGAGGTGGTGGTAGCATGAGTAACGCGAGTGGTGGTTCGACCGCATCTCCCGGTGCGGGTGGTTCTCCCGGTACGGGTGGTCCCGCAACGGGTTCTTCACAAGACCAGGTGGTGGTCGTGGCGGACTCTACGAGTGGAGGAGCTCCACAGCAGTCGGTAAACCTCAAGCGTCCCGAGCCGATCTTCTACTCGAACGGAGAGGAGTACGTCACATACGTCACATACCGTACTCCTCTCCGTTCGAGTAGAAGATCGGCTCGGGACGCTTGAGGTTTACCGACTGCTGTGGAGCTCCTCCACTCGTAGAGTCCGCCACGACCACCACCTGGTCTTGTGAAGAACCCGTTGCGGGACCACCCGTACCGGGAGAACCACCCGCACCGGGAGATGCGGTCGAACCACCACTCGCGTTACTCATGCTACCACCACCTCCCCTGCGGGCCACTACACCAATACCCTCAGTACTCGAGCACGCCAGTACGAGCCCACGATCACTCGCAGG